TTTCTAAGTGTCAATTTTTCTGTAATCGGTACATGTCTCTGTTATCCATTCAAATTCAAATCAATCCTCGTCTATCTTATTTTGTTATTCGTCCTCGTCTCTATTGTTCTGTCATCAATCCTCGTCTCCGTTGTCTTGTTGTCAGTTCTTCTGTTATCGGTCCCTGTCTTATGTTTTTCTGTTATCGGTCGACGTGTCTGTACGCTTGTTGTCAGTTCTTCTACTATCGGTCCCTGTCTCTGTTCTTCTTTAAGCGGTCCTCGTCTTTGTTCGCTTGTTGTCAGTTCTTCTGTTAACGGTCCCTGTCTCTCTTTTAGCGGTTCTTCTGTTATCGGTCCCTGTCTCTGTTCTTCTGTTAGCGGTCCTCGTCTTTGTTCGCTTGTTGTCAGTTCTTCTGTTATCGGTTCCTGTCTCTGTTCGCTTGTTGTCAGTTCTTCTGTTATCGGTCCCTGTCTCTGTTCTTCTTTTAGCGGTCCTCGTCTTTGTTCGCTTGTTGTCAGTTCTTCTGTTATCGGTCCCTGTCTCTGTTCTTCTTTTAGCGGTCCTCGTCTCTGTTCGCTTGTTGTCAGTTCTTGTCTTGTTATCGGTCGTCGTCTTCGATCTTGTACTTTCGGTTCTTGTTTCCTATTCCGTTATGGTCTTCTCTTGTATCTATCGTTGCCGTCATGCTGTGTCGATGTCCTGGTTTTGTCAGTCTTGTAGTCATTTATTCGTTCAGTGGAGTAGCGGGGGATCGAACTCATGACCCCTTGATTTGTAGGCAAACAGTGTTACCACTGCACCATAGCACCCGCTCTGAATAATAACCGTTTTAGAAAATCCTTTATACATAAAATACTATTTTAATGGCTAACAATGGGTGTATGACAATTATATTTTAACACCTCTACTATGTAGCCAACCCACGTGACTTTTATATATGGTCAAAGAAAATATATCTCCATTTTTTACAAGTAATATTTTTATAAATAACTTTGCTGTTACTTTAAGATATCCTGGAAATTTATTGGAGGGTACCCGGAATGGTGTGATAATCTTATTGTAGAATTTTCTCAAAACCTTGACTGAATTCCAAAAATTTCGAGAGCTGCCATGGTATAGCAAAAACACGAAGCAATCTCCCGGTTTCAGACATTTAATGACTCGATGAAAATATGGTGCTGTTATTGTTGTTGTTTTTAACTTTAACTTTAATTTCAAATTAAATAGTCACTTATTTTTAAACAAGATGGTAAACTTAAATATGCCCAAATGTCATCAAGAGCAGTTTTGCATGTGGAAGGAATGTATTTTTCAGAATGTAAAAATGAAACAAAAAAGTTAAGAGACGATATAACTTGATTGGTAATTTTGGATGAATATAAGTAAGTTTTCTTCTTTTTATTACTTTTGACATTTAAGTTATTTATCAATTTGAGCTTTGCTTTTCTCTAAACAGCCTGACATTGTCAGAATTGTTATCAAAAATAAAATTGAGGTACCACATGGGAAAAATCTTAAGAAAGTAGTTTCGTCATTGAAAAGTGTGAAATTATATTTTGATAATTTTCACTGTGAAATTATCAAAAAGAATTTTCACGGATAAATCAGTAATCCACTGAAAAGCATATAATAAAAAAAAAACTATGAAACTAATGTTACTAAAAGTCATATCTGCTAAAAATGTAAACGTCATGGTTACTTCCGCAGTAGCACAGCCGGTTAAGTTATTGACTGATTTGTGAGAGGTCTGAGGTTCGATTCCTACTGTGGCTTTTTTTAAGACCTGTTGTTTTTGTTGTTTTTTTTTTTTTTTTTTTTTATTGGGCGGGGGGGGGGGGGTTGGGGCAGTATATATTTTAAAACACTTGTTGTCTCGGTTTATGTTGTGTTTATGGCATTGAAATGACACTTTTTGACATTTCAAAATGATTTTTAAATACTCATAATAAGTGCAAAATATATGTAAACAAAATGAACAACTTAAACAAAAAAACATAGCTACAAATAATGTTAAAAGTAACGGAACACCTGAAGTGACATTTTCCACACTTTCTCCCGGAATTGAATTCGTTTTTTACAAGATAATAATTCCCAATTAGAAATATTATTTCGTTTTAACGAAATATAAAATCTTAATTACGATATATTGATTCGTTATTACGAAAACTTATTTCGTTATTATAACATATTAATTTGTTATTACGAAATATTTATTCTTTGGTTATATTTATAAACTAAGTTTATTGTTCAATATAAGTCAAGTAAACAAAACATTAAAAATGTTTTTTTTTCAACTTTAGTCTTATACCTTAACGCGCTAAACAGTACTGTATATACTGTTAATTGAGACATTAGGCTTATATTCGCTATATTTGGTGGCCAATCTCATTAAAATCTGATCATATTGAATAATCATTTGATTTTGACAAAAATGATCAAGTGCATCAAATTGTCTCATAGTTTTAATGAACTTTTTTAGTATTTTTAAGAGGCCATTTTGAATTGACCTTTTGAAGGTCAAGGTCAATTTTATTTTCTTGGTATCCACCCTCATCGTCTTCAGCATACCCGTATTAGGTTAAAACACTCAAGATATTACTTGTACTAGAAAAAGCCTCTAGCATTCATATTTTCTTAAAATCAGTCCTGTCTAAAATGGATCGGGACATCCTTAATTTCCTAATGTAACTAACTAATTATATAAAAAAAACATTTACTCAATGTAATGTGTTATTTCATCATGAATATACAATTTGCGGCATTAAACGGTAGTGTTACGACATTTAACGACTAGAGAAAACCGTGCGAAATTTAACGTTACAATTGCGACATTTAATGGCAGAAGATTTTGAGAAATTTAGCGGCGGTTAAGACATTCGGAATAGAATTTACATTTTTGGAGAATATTCACTTTTTTCTATATGTACATGATATATTTTTATCGAGTGATTTGAAAATAAATATTTCATGAATGGCGGTAGCCACAAGTGAAATATGACCATTTTCAAATCATAATTTCTGTTTACTATATACATTTTTTCTTCTCTCTTTTTTTTTACTTCACAATTTGAAAGACTTTTGTCATATACATTGTGTATTGTCTGAATTTAGAAAAAAAGCTGTCCGGCAAAACAACTGTGAAAATACGGAAAAATATGTTTATCTGCAGTTGAAAATGAATTTTTAAAGTAAAAATACGGAAAATGAAAACATCGATATTTCTCAATATTTCATTTATAAGTATATAATAAAGCAAAATATCGGTTAAAATAATTATTCTCGCTATGAAAGGTAAACAGAAGGTGTACACGTGAAGTCATCTAGCGGCACGAGCAGTGTAGCAGAAGACAATAGCGTTAGTGACAGTGTAAAACAAGCCGTGTCAGAAAAATAAATGTTTATAAAGTAAACAGAACTCGGGACTAATTCATGGTTGACCTGGTAAGAAAATGACATCCGTTGATGATAGACATTTTATAGAAAACAAGTTTATTATAATATTGAAGGTCAAACGTATATAAATTAAATGAAATTTCCATTTAGTAAATGCATTCAATTTGAAGTTGTACTTTCGCTAAATATTGTCAGTCTGTTTGAAACAAAATGGAAATTGAGCATTTGTACAAAAGTCAATATTTTTAGTAAAATTAAAGGAACTGTTTATTTTTCAAAAGTTGAATAGTAAACTATATTATTAATTTGTAAATGTTACTGACGCTCTCTATTTTACATAATCGCTGCTGCAAAATTGAACATTTGATTAAATAAGAAATACCATATCCTACACTCCTGTGACATAAGCAAATGTATGAGACAAATATAAGAACGAAGAGAAAACGTTGCCACAGCCTGCAGTAAATATAACAAATATACACTTGATCTGATGAGCAGTACGTGTGGTCAAAGTATTTTCTGCCCATCACCAAAGTACATGTAGTTATTATGCATGAATCGCTATTTATGTATACTAGCTAGTTTTGTTTGATTATACATGTACACTGTATGCCCTTTTTGCACTTAACAGAAACGCACCATGATCTAGACTATTTCAAAACAATTCAATTATATCGCGTTGATAAATTCGGTCGATCTAAAGTCATCAACAAAATGTAGAAAATACGAATATGAAATTTTACGGTAGATTGTGTAAGTAACTTTCACGGTGCGTTGTTTTCACGGTCAGCCTTTTCCCGTATATTTACATGGCCAGACTCAGTTTTATTACAGTTGACCGGATGTTAACTATTTGTTATTTTTCTTTTAATATGATACATACAAAAACTTGAAGGAAATGTCATTTTTTGTCAGACGTATTTGGCACGAATCTCAATTTCTAAAATTTGTATTTTTGGGATTATTTTAAAAACCAATGTTTTGTAAATCTTTCTATAAAAGTGAAGTGGAAACGCGTATTTTCGAGACTCCATAGTAAGTAGTTTATTTCTATTTTCAACTTCTTTCGATACATGTCAAGTTAGAATATATAAATCATGTTTTTCTCGCAATGTACAGGAAAATACGTATCTCACACGAACGCAAGAATTTAAAATAATATATATTCTAAGGAAGAATATGGTATTTCAAACAAATGATCTGAACACAATTTATGACTGTGAGCATTATTACAGCAATTTTTATTACAATATGTATTTTGTTGCAATTGCATTACAAATATCATTTTTATACATTTTAATCATGATTTAATTACAATATAAGTATTTGGCAATTGCTCTATTTTACATGAATTTTGTTTTGCTCTATCGGTCAATGTTATAATACAATCTTTTTAATGTGATAACTGTGTTTTGACTGGGCGCAATTTTATTTTTTCTATTCATGTTTTTCATTGGTCAATGTTTTTTTTAATGTACAATTGTTTTACAGTATTTATAATTTATTGTGTTTTGTACGAACATCTGCATTTAAAATGTTTTCTTTTTAACTTTCTTCATTTTGTTTTAAATATTCCCTATGTGCGCGTTTTCTATTGGACAAATATCTTGTATTTTACAGAATAATAAAATGACTCAAGTGTCCTCAGGAATGTATCTTTTTTTGATTCTACTGTTCTTGTGTAATACAGGTGAGATCATATTAATTTGTATTTTATATTTGATTAAGAAACAATTTAACACAATGCAGGTAACCATTGCAATATTAATTGCGAATATTGGTATCACAGCGAATTTCCTTGAAATGTTTGTTTGATTGGGTTTTACGTCGCACCAAAACTGTAAAGGTCATATGGCGACATTCAACTTTTGTGGGGGAGGAAGACCTCAGGTGCCCTTGCGTGCTTTATTTCAGGCACAAACGTGCACCTGAGTAAAGCCACCTTCGACGTTCCGTAAGCTAGTTGGGAAGCTTCTTTCAGTTAAATGAATCCAAAGTCCCATGTCGGGATTCGAACCAACAGCGGCGAGGGGCAATATGTTTGAAGGCGAAGACCATAACCACTCGGCAACTGACATCCCTTCTTTTAACAGAACATCGTTTTAATACAAATAAATAATAATTATTAAAAGGTACAAAGCTTTATCTAATGAAATATTTTCATATTTCAAAATGATGAAATTATGTTGTTCCCATAATAGATTGATTCTCAAAAAAGTTATTTCTTTTGATATAAATTTTAACCTTACGTTATTCCTTTTCCAAGTGTCTACTAATGCTGCCACAGCTCCTACCACCACCGCCGCAACAACTGAGGCCCCTACAACAAATTCAGCTACAACGACAACCGACGCCGTGGTCGCTAACAATGCGACAACTGACGCCGTGGTCGCTAACAATGCGACAACTGTTGCAGTGGTGACCAACCCCACTACTAAGAATTCAACCAACAACGCTGTGACAACGGATACAATTACAACTAAAAACGTCACCGATGCGGACAGAGAAGATAGTTTGAGTTGGATGTCGGACGCACGTTAGTATAAAACATATAGTTTACAGCGTTACAAGCAGTAACATTTCAAAAAATGCTAGAAAATTCTAGGAACCGCCGCTCAGTCGCGTATTCAAGCATTTGTTTGTGAAATAGACTCCTCTCTGAACCATAGAGCTAATAATTCCTTTTTAAACTATTTTAACTATTTCTAAGTATTTTTTTACACAGTAGGAGCCTAAATACTGGTTACGAGCTTTGTACATGAAGATAGTCGAGAGAGATACCTATCTATATTGTATACATGTTACAGAAATAATTGCAGTTATTTGATTAAAGATTTATGTAATAACCATTTACGCGAAGACCATTTTTGTCAATGTGATATTGTGATTGAAAATGCTGAGCATTTCTTTTTCAAATTTATTCGTTACGTCGAACAACGAATAATACTCTTTCGTGAAACTCGATCTTCTTATCCATTTAACATTGACACACTATAGTTCGGTCGTGACAATTTGGAATATAAGGATAAAGTTGTCATTTTCAAATCAGTTGAAAAATTTATTAAGACGACCATCGTTCTGATAATAATTGACTATGTCATGTGATATCAAATTCTCCGTTTTGATTGGTGAAATATGAAATTGACAATAACGGAATGAGATGTCGTACAAATATTTGTAAACGAGTAAACAAAACATATTCTAAAACCAACACATTTCCTAAAACAACATTACCATTTCAACAGTCATCAGCTGAATGTAATAAAAATCTTTCTACAATGTATTGATGACAATTGCTGGACCATAAGTCTTTTAAACTTAATCACCTAGGCTGAATTACACGATCTTAAAGTTAATAGTTATCAATATTTTATGATAATGAAGATCACTGTGTTATTTTGTTTTTGTTCCAGGAATTGTGATAATCATATTAGCATCTTTGCTGGGATTAGTGTTTCTGTTTCTATTTTTGGCTGCGTGTGCTTGGCTTACGTCCAACTCCGCCAGGAAACATCGATATGGACGATACAGAGGCAGACGTCGCCGCAGACGATATGACTTCGAGGTATGTTGCTGTGAACCATTTTTATTTGCTTAATTAACAATTCTACAGCTTTACAAACTGTTGCTTCTAAAGTATTTGCACAAGAAGCTTTTATCTTTTTCAACGAGATCATGCATATTCTAAAGGAAATTTATTTTGTATTGCATGTTGCAAACTCACAGATGTTTAAGAGGAGCGGTGGCCTTGTGGCTCTCAATCAAGGGATCATGTGTTCGAGCCCTAATCGGGTCACAACCATGTTTCTTCATATGACCACCAGTACTTCACCAGTACTGGTAAGTTCCAGGAAGTGAACTCAAAAGTGATTGATATAAGTTGCAAGAACGTTTTCGCAATCAAGCTTAGATAAATATGTATTAACCAAAAGATGTTTGCCTTCATGATTTCAGGAATATCCCAGCTCAGAGCCTTCGTCATACGCAGACGAAATATACGTACCATTTGACGGACCACCGGAAGTGACGTTATCGTACAAGAAGTCGTCTGCGCTTGAACCATATTACAGCTTGCCCAGAGAAACTAAGTACAGCCCCTACCTATTTGACGATGATATGGGGCAATATATGAAAGGCGATCTTAATCCATACCAAGGCTATGACTTTGACAGGCCATATTTTTCGAGTGCCGGCTTAAGGTCGTCAATTGGCCGCTACCCATCCGACTGGTATAGGTCTATGCCCGTAAACTTGGAGCTGGCATTGCCACGACCTTGGCTAAGATAATAAATATGACGTCAGGAAATGTAAGCCAGTACAAATAATGACGAAAGCTTAACTGTTTCATCTTTCATCGGAGTGTCAGTAAATGTTTAAGTTAGCAAATTGTGTACTGTAAAACTATTACATAAAAGTGATTTGTTTAAACAATATATTAATTCATTCATATACATGTAAAATATATACAAACACAAAGTTAATTCAATCAAATACATAAAAGGATTGTGTAGAAATCTGGAAGAAACACTTTTATTTAATACTGGTGCTTATATCTACAATATTATTGTAATAGCAGTATTTATTTTTTATCAATTTATCCTTATTAAAAACACACTTGAAGATTTCTCAACATTATTTTGTCCTTAATTCTATCATTGATAATTTAATATCTACTATACGGACGAATTATCATTTTAAAATGTGGATTTGGCCTAATTAGTAAATAGTAGTATTTATAAAGACAAAATACCAAATCACTATACATTTATTCATTGTCGAACAAAAAGTAAAAGAAGCATATATGGTTCAGATAATTGCCCAATGAGTAAAATTTGGAAATAAAAACAACAACAAATTTACAGAAATGTGAGAAATAAAATTAAATTGTTCCAAGGGACATAGTGGACCTTTTAGGAGAGAGAGCGAGGGAAAAGGACACCGTTCCTGGATGAAAATGACATATTAAACAAAATAACAAGCAACCCATATACCTTAAACAAAAAGACTAAAAATAAACATTCTAAAATAAACCGACATTGCTTCTAATTATATATGAACCATGTTGTTCATTAAGCAGATAGCAAGAAAATTATAAATCAAATTAGGAAATTTATATTGCTAAAACTTAATTTGTAGCATGTTTCATTAAACCTACATTGGAAATACAGCCTAAATATAGTTTACAAATATGTAAAACAGATCAGACCAAATTAGAGAGAGTACGTGCTCCCGGAATGTTCAACTCATTCTAAAATTGAATGCTCTTAAAATAGAAACATAAAAGCGAAAGGCACAGCCTAACATTGTATCACTCTAAATGAAAGCGACGTTCAGAGAATTATACAATAATAAAAAAACTTTCATTTTGGATATTCAATACTATTTTTAGCTCATATATATCAAATGACGCCTAAAGGCACATTATGCCCCAGAAACGAAAATTATTTTAATTCTTTAGAAAGGGGGATATGAGTTATATAACAATTGAATATTGATTAATGTTTTTAGAGCATGTTAAATGATTATAACCCCCAAAAAGTACATGTAGCTCTAAATATGAAATAATTTGTAACAATGCAGCAAAATGTAAACAAAGTAGTATTTTGACTTCCATACAAAATACTAAATCACTATAATTGTACTTATTGCAAAAAAAACCCCAAAAAGATGGTTCAGGTAAATGGGCAATAAGTAACTTTTTAGAAACCATTAAAGTACACCGAAAATAAAAAGGTTTTGGCAATAAAAATAAAAGCATTTCTGACAATAATGAGCTTTAAAAGCACGCACCTTTATGTGTATTTCTTAAAAACAAACAATTATGCGATTTTTATCGCTTTTGTTCAAAAAAGGTGTAATGAGTTTTAATGTTACATCGAATTCGTATGCTTCGTTTTACATCATTGCATACAAGCGACAACAAAACGCTACACTTTCTGTTGTCATGTTAGTGACAAATTGAAATGATAGAAATAGAAAAGTCATTTATATTTGATCCGCAATCAGTGTAGGGAAACTAACATGCCGTACTATTTCTGTAAAAATCACCACTTAGATTTAGATTTTGACAGATAAAACGTTAAATAAATCAGATCAATGGGCTGAAATAATTAGATTTTTTTAAAGATTGATATATTCTTCCAGATTACTTTAGATTTGTATAAATTGATTACATTGATTTGCAATTTAAGAGTTCTTGAATTGGAAAGGCATTTAAGGCATGAAGAGAACTTTGTCTGTCTAAACTTTAAATCATGCCTGGAAGACAAATCGTTGAATTCTTTATTTCCGAGAACTTTGAGAATTAAATTAAGTCTGAAGTCACTTGGCAAACCAGGAAAGCGGAATTGTCTCTTTCAAAACAGTCAATCGAAAAAGATAATGGTACAGTAGAAGATAACAAAACATGAAATAATTTAACCTTTAGTCTACCGGCGGTAAACTGTTCCTCACTATGTGACAAGTGCAGACCAAGATCAGACGGCACGCTATTCAGTCAAGTCTTATTTTGAAATTTTCCCTGAAATAATTAATGACTTTAACAGCATTATTATGCAAAGTCAAAGTGTTTAATGTTTTGTTGTTGTTCTTGTTTGTTCCCTCAAAGGTTCAAATTAGAAAGTTATTCTTCTTCAAATATTAAATTTAACGTTTATCTTTTACATAAAACGTTACATATATGAGCCGCGCCATTACAAAAGCAACTTTGTGTTTGCGACCAAAATGAATCCAGACTAGCCTGCGCAACTGCACAGTCTGACCAGGTTTCCATGCTGTTCGCTTACAAACCACATTCTGATTAAACTGTGCGGATGCGCAGGCTTGACTAGATCCATGTTGGGTGAAAACGAATTGTGTTGGTTTTGTCATGGCGCGGCACAATTATGATGTTATTCCTTTAGGGCAACCAACATTTGCTATATCATCATCTAGATTTACAAATTGCTTTGAGGCATCTTGGTGGCTATAATGTCTTCATTGGTTTGGAATGAAGGTTTCTATGATGCAGCAGTGTTTATCAATGCAATATGAAATGTATATTTTCATGTCAGTATGTTTTCGTTGAAGGGTTTAAACATTTTCTGAGATTTTTTGACATGAAGTGACAGGAAATATTTTTTTCTGATACATAAACACCATTTGATGTAGGTCTGAACTAAATAACTTGTGTGCAAAAAATGTAATTATTCTCTTATTTCATTTCCCATACCAATTGTTTTTTTAGTATGCAAAATGGCCAAGAAATGGAAAGCGTTGCAACGATTTTCAACCAAACCTACAAATCGTGCAAAAATTAGATTTTCAATTTAACTCTGAGTATATTCTTCATTATATTATACAGATTTTTTTTTTTTTAATTTTAAGTGAAAAATTTGATCTATGCAAGAATATCATATTTTATGTTTTTAGGCTTTTTTACCTTCGTCAAGTTCCTTCAAGATTATTTCAGCATGTACGTCAAGGTGTAAGATGTAATTCCTCATCCTTGTATTCTTCATTTGCCTTACAATGTACAGTCTATTCAATTTGCAAACAATGTAAAGGTTTTTAACGTTAAAACGTGTCCGCGATGATATTAAATAAGAACATTTGGAACTGCTTTATTGTTAATTACATTTTCAGTTAAAAGTAATTACAAATTAATGTCTTGTTCTACTTACCGATATAGCAGCCGTGTCTGGAATACAAATCAATGCATTGCACTTAAAGGGGTTTAAATTGTAAATAATTCGTTATCAATTTTTAGAGAAAATCTCAGACAGTTCACTTTTTGATTTAAAATGATACTGACAAGTAATTTGTGTAAAGTTTCCATGAAAATTGTATCAATACATGTTTAATTTGCTCAAAAGTGCAATAAATGACGTCTAGAAAAATCTTAAAACCCATGAATATCTCTGTAAGGCTATCATTTGAGCCCTACTATTCATTTTAATCAAATTATAATGCGTGTGTCATTATGCAAAACTATGCATTACATACTAGGACAATTTTAAACACTTTTATTAATGAGACGCATCTATATCGTTTATTATGATAATTCTTGTAATTTACTGTTTACACCGGTTCTAGAAATACCTGTTTTACACCCTAATGTAAGACAAGTGGCGTGTTGTAGGACGTCTGATTGATTGAAGCATTTATTCAGTTTATTTAACTGTCTGTGTGCAATAAGATGCAAATGTTAACAGATGTGACAGTGTAATCTGTCCCCTAAGACGACGATCATATCACACAAATGATGTTTGATGCAAAATTGTAAGTGGAAATTTGAGTGATGATCTTTCCGTCCTGTCTACAAACTGTCATGGAAATTTAATTTGCTTACTCGGTCTTTACGGCACTAAAATTCAATTCGTAGCAATATTAATTGTTTTACTTTTTTCTAACATGTCTATATTGATGCATTTTTAGAAATATCAAACATATAAAGCAAATAAAGACGGCTGCCTTGGTATAAAGATATGTTTTTATCATGTATAGCTACGAAGTCCATGACCATAGAATATTTGCAACATTTGTCACTTAATACAAAGAAGTAGCGCCAGGCAAATTCAGTACACAAGCTCATACGTACATGTAAACAAAAGAGCATTTATCATTCACAGACTTCACCATAGAATATGTATTTTCACACGTTATAAAATGTAATGTGAAATAATGTTTTTATCATAATTATAGTATTCGTCGATTTAGGCAAGAATTTACTTTTAGCCCAACCGATTCATATTAAACCCACACTGCATCTAGCTTCATTTTTCTTTTTTCCCATTAAAAATCCATATTGTAACTGCCGTTGTTAAAGATCCTGTATGTTGTAATTGAGGTTGTACTCGTTTACCTTTTTTTTTTTAATGCGTTTATTTAAGGTCGCCGCCGGAAAGCCCATATGGGCGACCGTACACTCAAGTCGGGCCATCCTAGAGCGTCCCGCCGAGATTTTTTCGTCGATTTTTTCCAGCTTTATTGGTGGAGGAAGACCCCAAGTGCCCCTTCGGGCATTATTTCAGGCACGAGAGCGCACCTGGGTAGAACCACCGACCTTCCGTAAGCCAGCTGGATGGCTTCCTCACATGAAAGATTTTGACCCGAGTGAGGATCGAACCTACAGCGGTGAGGGACCTGTGATCGCAAGTCAGCGACCTTAACCACTCGGCCACAGAGGCCCCTCTTCTCGTTTACCACACTTAAGTGAAATTATATATATGTATATGATTATGCTTATAAAACAATTTTCAAACATCGAAGAAAATGTAAAATATGTACTGCAAATATTTGTACATATTATATGTAATCATTGAAATATATGCATTCATTTTTAATTGAAAAATTTGACTTAAATTTTATAGAAAATAAATTTTTTTATTAACTCCCTTTATTTATGAAATGTTAAATTCGGTAATATTTTTTAGAAATAATGCTTTTTTGAACTTACAAAATTGATAAATCTTAATTTGAGCATCATATTTATGATATAATACCATAAAATATTGTGTTACAGGATCTTTAATAACATCTATACGAGCTATCTGAGTCTGTCTCTCTTATA